TCTCTCTCTCTCTCTCTCTCTCTCTCTCTCTGTCTCTTTCTCTCTCATTGCAATTATTCCCAACATTGATACAGAGAGAGAGAAACATGTGGTTCTTGGTATGATTAATAGTCAAATTACATTTATCTATATTTACAATTAATATTGGTCATTTTGTCGTCGATAATTTCTATTAAAATAATTAAGGTCTGTTGTGACTGAGAATAATATTATTAATAATATCCGATAACATTGTTACTTTTATTTGATAGAGTTCGCTATCATTTTTACGATTTTATTAGTCTTTATCTTTTTATAGATAATCTATCGTATATAGATAACTACTATATATTTTCTTGGGTATGACATTAAACACTTTCTGGTAATCCGATAACCTAATTGAATTTATATGCATAATAATATACAACTCGAATTTGCACAATATTATTAAAATTATATCATATTATTTTCCTTATTTATATTTTATAAATAGTGTTCAAAAATCAGCCTTGTTGCTAAGCAGAACTTAACATTGCGATCGGCCCGCATGAGGTCAGCACCTCTAAGCGAATAGATTTCTCGTGACCTCTGACACGCATGCGCGATCTTTTCATTTACTTGCTGGAAGTAACGGCCATTAACGGCCATTGTCGATCCCATCTTGAACTCGTTCGCACGTAATTTGGTTTTGCTTAGGTTTTGCACTCAAATTGTGCAACTTACCGATCTGTACTCATATTAAAACGATTGCGTATTAACACGCATCTAGTTGTTTCATTGCTAACACCTTTGTAGCGAATCCTATTGTTCCCAGCGCAACATCGGCAGGGTAAATTTTGAACATTGATCCTTCGAGCTGGATTCGTTACAAATTCTGAATTAGTGTTCGTGGAAGTGCGTGATTGGTGCGGGCGTCTCAATTCGAATCTCATGCGGATTCCGTTTCTCAACGCTCACGGGAGCAGTGATACTCAATTAAAGGATACACTTAATAGTGGTGTTCATCAGCAACCAGCAATGGCAAAGGCAACTTTCGGAAAAGGTTTGCTAGATGGTGTGGAAGGCGGTAACATTGTAGCGTGTTCAATAATATTCAAAATAATTAATTCACTGGGGAAAAATATTATATGAATATTTTTTATTATAAACGAATCAAAAAAAGACTTATACAAAATATATAACAAACTTAACAATAATCTTAAA